AACAACATCCCACATGAATGAAAATTGATTTTTGAGACTTAAAAACGACACGAAGATAGGAGGACACATTGTGTTCACCGGATGATCCCTGCATACGAAGAGGTAGGTTTTAACCTTTGAACCTTCCGCTGTGAAGAGACACTGTTGAGTTTAATTCAACACGATATAATAAAATATAGATATAAATTGTATGAACTCCCGATCTTTACGTGGAAACCCAAAAGAGAGAAAACCGCAGGACTTTTTAGGCTAATTTCCAAGCCCTCTCATTCTCGTTAATACTCTCCTCACCATTTACATTTGCAAGTCTTGAGCTCACATCTCTACGCTTGCGCAACCCTCTTACATCACAGCTCCCCAGCACCTTCGAATCCTCCACCGCTCCTCAATCGCAAGCAAAACTGACCATCAATGAAGATTGAGGCGTCATCCTTGATGGCCGCCGCCGCTGGTTAAGACTTTCTCGATGGCCGCCGCCGCCGGTTCAAACTTCCTCAATGGCTGCCTCTGGTTTAGTCATCATCGATGGCCATCGCCACTGCTGGATTCAACGTCCTCAATAGATCTACAACGGCAACTAGGGTTACCAGATGTGCAACGATGGATGCTAAGGGTGATGAGAGGCGATGGCAGTGGCCTGGCCACTACGGGCTCGTGATTGTGTGGGAGCAGTGGTGTTTGTGACGACTAGAGGTGGGTGTGGCGTGATGCGGTAGTGCAAGGGCTGTTCGAGGGTTGGGGCTGTTGTGAGAGGTGGGGGATGCTGACTGGGGGTTGGGTGACACAGAGGAGGGGGTTGGGGTTGGTGTAGGAGAGGGACTGGGATCGGAGGCCAACGGTGGCGGCAAGCGGTGGTGGGAGTTGGTGGTTTTTGGCGTAGACGACAGTGATGGAGTTGGGCGGGCAGTCACTGTGGTGGTGGGCGGGCATTCACTGTTGCCGGCCGGCGAGCAGTCACTATAGTTGGAGTTAATGTGGCTGGTGGATGGACAATCACGGTGGCCGGAGTAACTGTGGCTGGAGTCCCCGTGACCGGAGTCACTTTGACCAGAGTAATTGTGGCTGGAGTCACTTTGCAATGCAATTTTTAATTGTGATGTTGGTCACGTTTTTGAAATTTTTAGAAACAAATATTTTTTTTCTTAGCTTTTATCCCGTTTTAGTAATATCCGGGCAAAAAGGCCGAGTACTTTTCTATAATCCGGTATGAGAATTTAACATCATTCTTAATTTCCAATATAGAGAGTAAATTCTTACTAAGGAAAATCTCTTGAATAAAAAATTAGTCGTTTCTAAATCACTCTTCATGTACTCGCTTTTAGCAAGCATGTCTAAGTCATACAAAGGATATACATAGTATCATACAAGTAAACAATCACTCTTTATGTACTCGCTTTTAGCAAGCATGTCTGAGTCATACAAAGGGTATACCATACAAGTAAGCTAGCACTTTATCCTTCAAAATGTTTTTACTTTCTCTTAGAAAAATACAAAATGTTTGAATGACATGTGATAAAATTTTAGTCAATAAATTAAATTATACTCCCTCCGTCCCATTTAAACGTTCCCACGCGGTTTACGACGTTTGACTGACCATAAAGTTAACTGATCTCTGTCATTAGTAGAATTGTTTTTAGTAAATAAATTTTAAATATTCAGAAAATACATTAAAACCGCTACAAAGCCTGATCAGGAAAATTTAAATTTGATATATAAAAGTTGATTATATAAAGTAAAAGATTAAGAACAATGCACGTTGACCAAAGAATAGTAGACGGTAACCTTTAAATAGGATGAAGGGAGTATAATTTGACTATATCCCTTCAGAATTAGTTTCGGTGGATTACCGTGGATACATACATAGTAATATATTTGGGTCATTGATGAAAAAATGATGTTATGGTTGTATTGTTTTTAATATGTGATGATTAAGTTATCACTTAAGAATGCTAATTACTCCGTATTTCCTAAATTAGGAATGTGAGAATTTTTACACAAAGGAAGTGTTATTAATATGAGTTTCAACTGATCTGCTGTAATCTGGATGGATTAGTCCAGTACTTGGTGTGATACAGAAAATTAAATAAATAAGGGTATATTAGGAGGCCCTAAATCTGAGCATGCAGATGCAAGATGGATTAATAAAAAGAAGGGCTGTCTGAGATGGATCAACCAACTTGGCATCACCCAAAGAGAGATGATGGAAGAAAAAGAAACAGTTGGTTCTAACCACCTGAAACACAACCAAATCAAGCCTGTCACTGAGATTGGTTAGACTGAGACATATAATCAAACAATTATTATTCTTTCCCAGGCTAACATTCTTTGCGTGTTTTAGGTTCCTTTTTTAATATGCATGGCTTTTTGCTTGTTAACGTATAGTATTCTATTATGGAGTACAATTTACAAACCGGTTCTAATTAAGTAATAAGTGTTTCGTTCTTCTCAAATTATGCTTGTATTCAAATCTATGTTAGGTATATATTATATACTAGTACGTGAGTTTGTATGTGTGGACATATATAAATAAGAGGGGACATTGTATAGTATATTGGGCTAAAATTTACAATATGACTATACCATAATCTAGTCATTCAATTTTTTATTTATTTAATCTGTATAAGTATGGTTTAATAATCTATACCAATTTACTCTCATGTAGGGGTGGACTGGGCCGGGCCGAACCGACCTGCTACTGTGCAGGCCCGGATCAAACCGGGCCCAGATGGCCGGTTCCGGGCTTTAGCCCGGTTTGGGCGGTTCCGGTGGGCCGGTTCCGGGCCATGATATTCATGAACCGGACCGGGCGGTTCGGGCCGGGTCCGGTTTAATTTTTTTTCAATTTTTTTTTCTTTTCCTTGGGTAGGGCTGGGTGTTTTGGGTGGGGGGTTGGGGGCGGGGGGGGGGGGGGGAGGGGGTTAATTAGAAAGCCAAAAAAAATTTACATAGAATCGGGTCCGGCCCGGCCCGGTTTGGCCCGGACCCGGTATCAACCCGGGCGGTTCCGGGCCAAACCTTCTGAAAAAAAGCCCGCCCGGGCCTAGTCCCGGCCCGGGTCCACCCCTACTCTCATGTGGTGTAAGGATGTTTTTACTTGGACTGTAATTTGCTGGTCTGGTCAGGTCTGGTCTGAATTGGTCTGGTCTGGTCTGGTTTCTTTGTATTTTTATAACTATCCAAGTCTGGTCTGGTCTGGTCTGGTTTGAACTGGTCTGATCTGGTCTGGTCTGGTCTGGTCTGGGACGAATTATAGTCCAAGTAAAAACATCCTAATTTAGCTTAGCCGGTCTATTTTGATATTATGCAATTGTTATGGATTTGTTTTAAATAAAGGCATAATATACTTTCATACTAGTACTCCCTCCGTTTCTGAAACAAGTTCCACATTTGACTTCACACATATTAAGAAAATAAATTTGACTTTACTGTGGAGTGCACTGTTTGGCACCGTTTGAACATTGTTTGGCACTGTTTGAACACTGTTTGACATTGTTTTGATGTAGATAATTTGCCAAATAAGGAAATGTTTGAAAGTGGAACTTAATTTTGAATCTGCCCGAAAAGGAAAGGTGGAACTTGTTTCAGAAACGGAGGGAGTATTATATTATACTCCGTAGTTACAAAAAAAAATTATTGAATTCTTAAGCGGTTATTATTTTCTTAGAATCTTAAAACTAATTTATAACTATAGTGATACTACCTCCACCCTCTAAGATCGGGACAAAGCTAAAGAGTGTTGTGCAGTTCAAAAAATATATAATTATGTGATTGATATTGAATTGAGAATAAAGTAATAAAGAATTAGAGTTGAACATATATTACTATATACTTCTTATGATATGGGACACATTTAGTGAGACTAATGAAAAGGGAAAAATCAGGCAATTACAATAACAGTGAAATTATTTAAAATAGATTTGTAATAACAAAATTCATGTATTCCCTCCGTTCCTAAAAATTCTTCTCGGTTTGACTTGACACGCTTATTAAGAAAGTGGAATAAAGTGGAAATATATGGTTGTGGTTGTGTAAGAAAAAGGTAAAATGAATGTGAGCACACAAATTATCCAAAACGGGAAAGTGGAAAGTATTTTTGGAAACAGCCAAAAAAAGAAAGTGAAAAGTATTTTTGAGAACGGACGGAGTAATATCATACGTGCTCACATCAGAATGATCAAACGGGATCAGATAAGACAGAAAGGATCAAAATAAATAGGACTAGATCAAGCTCAATCAAATCAAAATTAGTTCATATATAAAAAATCACAGGACTATAATTAGTTTATGCATGCTATAAATGAACATTTCTAATCGATGTGTTGTTAAAAAATTGTTGTTTTTGCTTTAATTGTGTGTTACTATGTCACAACAACGGTATTAATAAAAATTTACCGGCAGATCAAATAAAAAATTTGTTGCTTACTTACCACAATGTCACCAGTCACCACTGATATAAACATTATTTTCTCATGAACTTCAATTCTATATATATACTCAGTATATCAGTATATGTACTCTTTGAATGAGTATCACTCCTACACAAATAACTTACTTTTAATGTTTAACATAGGGCATATTAGTATGGTATCAAAATAAATTGATATGTGTACAATTTTATTTAGAGAATATAATATTGCTCGAAATAGGACTAAAAAAGTTCGAAAATTCCAAAATAGGACTGCCATGTTTTTATTCCCAAAATAGGACTAATTACTGCAATGTTTTGGCAATACCAAAATTCAAACATGACATTTTTTCTAAACTTGACAGTATTTACTCCTATTTTGGGAATAAAAAACATATCAGACTTATTTTGAAATTTTCAAACTATTTTAGTTCTATTTCGGGGATTTTCCCTTTTTATTTAATTTTCCATCATTGCATGTTTGCCTTGTCTATAACATACCTGGTAAATAAAATAAATAAATGGTAAAAGAAGTATGGAGAGTCGGTGACTTGGTGGCCTATAAATCTCGCCATTCTAACTTCCACGAACGCATCCACTATCGCCACATCATCCCACCCTTCATTTTCCCTTCAATAAATATACAAACAAAATTAGGCTCATCTCAAAGTGCTCTGTTTTTCCCGTCGGCGTGCTAATGGCTACTCTGCCCAATTCCTCTGTTCTGCTCCTCTTCTTATTAGGTAATTATAAACATTTCTTGAAGTTCTGTATAAGCTTAATATATGGTTTGAGCTTTTGTAACTTTTTGTGGTTTAATTGGCAGGATTTACGTCGGTTTCGGCAACTGTTTTTACTCTGCATAACACATGCAGTTACAGAGTCTGGCCTGGAACCCTTTCCGGCAACGGAGCAGCCCTTCTCGGCGGCGGGGGTTTCGCATTGTCTCCCGGAGAAAGCACTCAGCTTCAAGCCCCGCCCGGGTGGTCAGGCCGCTTCTGGGCCAGGACCGGCTGCAATTTCGACGACAGCGGTAAGGGAAATTGCGTCACCGGCGACTGCGGCGGCGCGCTAGAATGCAGCGGCGGCGGCGTGCCTCCGGTGACTCTAGCCGAGTTCACCATCGCCAACGGGGATGCGCAGAAGGACTTCTACGACGTCAGCCTGGTCGACGGCTACAACGTCGGCCTCGGCATCCGCCCTTCCGGCGGGTCCGGCGACTGCCAGTACGCCGGCTGCCTCTCCGACGTTAATGGGAATTGCCCGAGTGAGCTTCAGGTGAGGGATTCCGGTTCGGTCGTGGCGTGCAGGAGCGCGTGCGCGCAATTCGACACGCCGGAGTATTGCTGCACCGGCGAACACTCGACGCCGGAAACATGCCCGCCGACGGGGTATTCTCAAGTTTTCAAGAACGCCTGCCCCTCTGCGTACAGTTACGCATACGACGATGCATCAAGCACATGCACATGTGCCGGTTCCGATTATGTGATCACTTTCTGTCCCAACAATTGATGATGGATGATTAATTATTTAATTATTAACAGTATATTATTATCATAATTTATTACTGGTATTATTTGTTTTTTCCTTACAATCACTACGTAGTATTCTTTTTATTACATTAATAATAATACATAGATTAAAGTCGTACTTGTATTTTCATTTATTTTTAATTTTCATCTTTAGAAGTTGAGAGCAAAATTGATAGTTTGGTACTTTGGTTAGCCCCATGCATGATGGGCATTTGTAGTTTCATTGTAGTTTTTACAAAAAAAAGTCCAAATAAATTGTCCTATAATTCGTTAATTAATCATATTTTCACCAATTTTCTAAACGTATCCATTTGTTCAGATCAAATAAGATCATATCATATGAGACGAACTAGATTTAAGTAGTAAAATACACAAAAAATAGATATTTAATAGACAATACCGATTAAGATCAAATAAAGTCTCACTTGAACAAAGCATATCAAATCGGACTTATTGAGATTTATTCCTTCAACTCAAAGGCCTAACATGTTTCCATTGGATTTCGTGTGGGGAGTTAAATGGATTTACGATGCAAGCAAGTAAAGTGGATCAATAAGAAAGTAGTGAGTGAGCTGTATCTTATTAAATGATAATAAGGGTTTGTATACAACAGTAACAACACACTTCAACTATTAGTCGAGAGGCCGTTCGTCTATCTCAGAGCTAAGATAATTGGTATTCGCTAGAGAGAATAAATTGTCAACCCTTTACAATGAAATAAATGCTAATATTACTATCAAGGAGTAGGTAGTATTGTTGACGTGGAGAACTGTGGATGACTAGCTTCCCAACCACCAAATATACTTTATTGAATGCGGCTCCCGCCAATATCTTGGTTTCCCGCCAAGGCTGCGGACGAACGTCCCCATGTCTTGGCCCCTGAATCATGATGAGTGTAAGGGTCGGGATTCGTACGACCTATGCAAGTTGCCTGGTTATAGATCCTGGAATGTTATAAGTTCCTTGTTTGGACAAGTTCCGACGATCGTCCTCCGGCAATCTGGATGGACCACACCGATTGGGCCCTGATGCTTTATCTGCTAAGGGGTAATGGATCGGCCCACGGTCGGGGTCCATTAACCCAACAGGATTGACAAATTCCGATCTAATAAAAATAGATTTAAAGTTTAAATAATACTAGTATGTAGTATCGTTTTTTTAAAGAAAATTGTGAAGTTTTTGTTGAGAAATTCAGTCCCAAATAGGATCTAATCTCAATAAATATGATAAAATTCATAGAATCAAACAATAAGAACACTAACCGGTTGAGGAGAAACCGAACGTTGATGGTGCCGTAGAAGATGATGAAGCCATTGATGTGTAGATTCTCTAAGGATACAAACTACAAATCGATGGATTGCTAAGTCTCCCTTGGGTCTCTTTATAATGGTGTTCTCGAGACCCTTAGGAAGAAACACGTCTCTTCCCTTTTGTCGTAAGAGTTGGAATGAGAGTGTACTTTTATATATTGTATCAAAGAGAAACCCTTTTGGTCCCTTATATATTATTTAATGTTAAAACATACCCATCATATGTTAACTATGCATAAATACAGAGACCAAATCTGTCATATGGCAAACATAATGGAAAGACAGAAATGTCTCCAATATTTATTAAATTATATAAATGGTCCAAGGGCACTTAAAGGGAATATTTTCCAACATTCTCCCACTTGACCTTGAGATCATTTATACATAAGTTAAAGTATTTGTTGGCCAAAAAAGATGTCATCTTACTCCATAATAATATCAAAGCAAATAAATACAGTCTAACGGGTCAATATAACCCGGAACCCCATTAATCATACTTTGACACTTCTTAAAGAGTATAAGGATTAATATAAGCCAAATGACATTAAACATAGGGTATTATGTTTGTCTATTAAATAACTTTGTGTGCACAATAAAGAATAGACAAAACATACTTAAGGAGGAATTCTAAATCAAGTACTTGATATTAATACATAAGATAATTAATGAGGCACTGTGCTATAATTTCTTAAACAGGATCATTGATCAAGCCCATATTAGTGACGTGTCTTTGAAAAATACTGGGCGGTAGTCCTTTGGTGAGAGGATCTGCTAGCATATCATTTGTGTCACGCCCCGAACCTAGCCGGACACGTCAACAACCCGCCGTACAGTACGAATAGTCAACCGCAGTCCAACTCATCCATACTATACAAGGCGTCATGAATATCATTCACACATAGTACATCCATAAACAAACATAATGTAAAACATTCATTTAAAACAGCGGAAGCATTTAATAAAAGTGTCTTAGCCACACTTTGGCAAACATGGGCATGCAAGCCCCCAAATAGTTATTCAAAATAATATCCATGAGCATTATTATAATTGTTTTGAAATCAGAAAACAGAAGAAGCACGAACCACGTCTTCTCCTCTGAATATCCCGAGCAACGGGCACCGGTAGCAACCTTCAAGTCCTACCTGAAACTTTGAGGTGGCCTCCCCCGTGAAGGGGAGGTCAGTACTTGGAAATGTTTGACAAGTAAATAGCAACTATACTAAGTATAATCAACGTTTTAATTTCCAAGACCCTCAAAATAGGGTGATATCATAATATAAATAATAATTTATATTTCCCACTTATTACCCTTATAGTAAGTAAATTTATTTATTCATCGGCACACGACCCTTCTTATATATCCCTTTTTATTTATCATTTGCACAACCCAACCCTTGGGTCCTATTATTTCTACGGGACTTGCTACCGCTGTCCGAGACCTCGTGAGGCTCCCGGTTCGGACTCCAACATCCCGCCCCTGGACTCGTACCCATCATCCCGTAGGAAGGTAAGGCCCTTCGGGGTCCTATCTTATGTGTTACCGCTACCGGAACCTAGTTAGGTCTCCGATTCGGATTCCACCCTAACCCGTGATCACGATGTAAGTCCATGCTATCCAACCCTGCTCTCTAGAGTCGGGAAGGGCCATGGTCCTTACTATTTCCATAATTCGACCGGCTATCCACAAGGACTACCGAACACACCCGCAGGCCAATCCTATACTTAGGATCAATTTAATATTTGCATTAACTTGGGTATCCCTTAAGGCCTACCCCTAGTATAACTTAAAGTTCATACTTTCCAACCTTAAAGCATCTCTTAAGACTACTTAAGGCATAACATTTCACAATCCAACCTTAGGATCAATCTTTAACAACATTTCATTTTAATGTCCAACTAGTATCTTAATACTAGTCAAATTAATATCAACACACCAAGTTCTCAACTCGTAGTCATATAGACAATTCCAACTGATTTTCCTTTGAAAAATATCATTTATCTCAATATTCAAAATATCACTTTTAATCACTCATATATTCTAATATGAAGAAAAAGTATATTTCAACATATGTTTCATAATAAATTCCACTTTCAAGTCAACATACTCATAACACATGAACATACACAATTTGCTCTTAAATTTGTATATCATGCTCCCTTTTTCTTTAGACATTTAGTCTTGTCATTTTTAGGCATTATTAATCATTAATAATCCATAAAAATACTTTTAATTACCTTCGGTAATCTCATGAAATTAACTCATTAATTATAAGCAATATAGTCAGCCATCCTCACCTTATGAAGTGCTGAAATAGTTGCCTTTGCTAAGCCCCTCGATCAATCCCCGTTCTAGAGAGAAGTGAGAGCTAGAGAGAGAAGTGCAATAATATGCTTCAATAGAATGATTTTGTAACCCCTATAACTACTCCCAAGGGGAGTATTTATAGAGAAAATACGGGTTGGGCTCCCAAACCTTGGGCTTGGGAGGCCCATTTACAACTGGACCGCTACAGGGCCGAATACAAAGCCATTAATGGGCTGTACAAATGAGTAAGTGTAAAATCCGGTTCTGGGAGGTCCTCGTGGCCGACGAGGGCGTGGCCGACGAGGGCACGGCCGACGAGGGCGCGGCCGACGAGGGCACCCGGGTTCCTTGGGCTCAGGACCATAATCCGAGTTGGCCCCTTTTCGGCCGACGGGGGCGTCTTGGCCGACGAGGGCGCCACTCTGTGTCTTGTGCTTTCTGTTCTTCCGAGTATGTGGGTCCGGGGGCTCAGACCCATATACTCCATCAGGAGTCCCCCACTCTCTAAGCTGAGACGTAGACGAAGTGAAGGAGAGTAGATTCCCGTGCTTTAGTGCTTTTGGCCGATGCGGGCATCCCCGGGCCGTTAGCCGTTGCGGTGTTGGCGTTGTTTCCTCTTTGGTGATCCTGTTATGTGCTTTGGCCGTTACCTGTTCCTCGTTGTGGGCGGGGAGGCCGTTGTTTCCTTAATGTGCTCATTTGAGGATGATGAGTGTCTTGTTTCAATGGCGGCCGTTGAAGGCACGCTTTCCCTTTCCTGGACGTTGGTGGTTGAAGTTTATGTTTGGGCCGATGGGGCCGTTGAGGTTGTTCCTTGCTTTGAGGACGATGGTGTCCTTTCCTTTGGGTGGCCGATGAGGGTGCTCGCGCACTCCTTTTGGCCGTTGTTGATGATGTTATGTGCCTCTGGCCGACGAGGCGCCATTGTGATGCGTGGACGATGTGGCCATGCTTTGTGGTTACATTCATGTTCTTTGTATTGTTCCTTTTTGTTTTGTTGAGGCCGATGTGGTCCCCCAGTCCCCCACAGCTTCAGGCCGAAGAGTGTGAGGGGTGAAGGAGTAGCTTGGGTCCCTGGCTGAAGCGGCCTCTCCGTAGTCCCCCTGAATCCAACCCTCATGGCGATTTTCTGGCCAAGGTAACCCTGTGGGAGAACCCTTGTGCGCAGATCGCTTGTAGAGAGTTATCATCAAGGGTCATTACGAGGAGCCGATGGCTGTGGGTTCTTTGTTACTTTGGTTCTGTGGCCGTTATGGGCGTTTGTTACGTTCCTGGCCGTTGTCGTCTCCTTATTGTTGACGTTTGTGAACCTGGCAAGCAAATGGGACGTTGTGGGCGCTTGCTGGTACTTGTAAAGCCGGAAAGCGTGTAGGCCGTGGAGTCTGATTTGCCGGCGGGCTGTTGATGTGGGTTGGGCCTGGGCCATTGGTGACGTGGTGGCCTCCCATTGGTGGCCGTTGATGTGGCCATTGGGAGGGTGCCACGTGTAGTGACCGTTGGGTGGGGGGTTCTATAAATACCCCTCCCCCTCCGACGAGAGACCACATTTGCATTCTGAATTGTCGAAGTGCTGGCCATTTTTCTAGAGAGATAAACTCCCAAGCTTGTTCTTCGTGTTCTTCATTGTTCAAGGTTA